TTCACTGCACTTATCAAAAATGGTAAGACTCCTCACTACACTTCAGGTTCTTAAGATGAATGAGCCATGACCTCTCTTTCATTAAGCTTACAGTTTACATTAGGAGGGGTAGTGGGCTGAGACACATGAATAAATAAATAAATAAATAAATAGCCAGAGCACAGATGAACAAATCACAAAATAAAAGAACTTAGCAGGAATGGGGGTTGATCATTCTGGGAGGAAGATTTTAGAAAGAGCAAAATCACTTTACAAACAGTGCCCTGAGAGGTACCTATGTGATGGAAGACCCCCTGGGCATAGAGAAAGCAGCAGCAGGACACAGGTTCCCCAACAGAGGCTTTGAGGACTCAGAGGATGCTGGCAGCAAGTGTGCTTTAGAGGCATGATGGATTGAGGAGATTGAGAAAAAAAAATCATCGAGGACTGAGTTGCAGGATTTCTGTGTCTGGACTTAGAAGTACACACTTGGTATTCTCAGCTGTGGGTGGTCCCTCCCGTCCACCTGGGGAAATTGTGTGTTCAGTTGTACTTTCTACAACTGCTTGGTATCACTGACTTTCAAGGCAGAAAAGACTGGAGGGTGCAGCCAGGGTCATCTCCTGCATCATCCCTAATCAGGAGAGAATCTGAAAACTTCAGGACTATAGCAAAACGAAGCAAAGCAAAACAGATTTTTCATAGGAGTCAACTCGTGTTCTTTGTTGCAGAATATCTGTTTACACTGTAAAGATGGGTCTCTGCCTAAGGCGACTTCTGATTAGTTTAACAGAACCAAATGGCCAATAGTTAGGCAGGAGCGAATAGGCGGGACTTCCAGACAGAGAGAGAGAAACCGGGAAGAGGAATCTAGGCATGCTATTTCACCAGAGACTCTGAAGAAGTTGTATGGTACAGAACAGAGATGGCACAGGCATGCGGCAGACTGTAGATTAAAAGAGACAGGTTAATTTAAATTAAAAAAGTGAGTTGAAAAAAAAGCCTAAGCTAAGGCCAGGCCAGGCTTTCATAATTAATATTAATTCTCCATGTCCTTATTGGGAAGCTGGTGGCCCCACGAAGGAAAGTCCAACTACGTTTGAGAAAGTTTGTTAAGAGTTTTTTTTTAAAGGAAATTGTTTTCTCTTTGATAATATTGAGGCATTAATTAAGATTAAGAATGTTAAGGCAAAATGTCACCTTTTCTGTGACTCTGTTCTTCCAGTTCTTAATACTGAATCAATCATGTAAAGTTGAGAGTTCATTTGGGGTCAGAACAAAGCCGACTGTAGGCAGATTCCGAGCAAAAGATAAGGGACACAAAGGTCTCATTATTGTCCTACTGAATAAACCAAAGGTAGAAGCCACACCTGGCAACGCTTGGTTTGTTCAGATGCCATCAGGGGACTATTTTCGTCTTGGTGGAGTGGGTTGAAGTCTTCCATCCTGGTCTGATTTCTTAGATAGGCTCATGTGAGCCTGAAACTTCAGTATTTCTATATAGAAGTATGGATGAAATACTAAGAGTTTCCTTACCTATACTGTAATGCTGCTCTTAAAAGGAGGCCATTTTGGGAACACCATTTTGGGAAGCAAGAGTCTTCCTCCAAAATGTTTATGACTGTGGTTAATGGGCTGTTTTATAAATTCGTTAGTACACATTCAAGGGTGAAGTAGATTTCAATGACAAGGAAGTGCTACATTTGATTTATGACCTTAAAGTTTATGCTCAACACAACTATATTATCAGTTTTGGGTTTTCATAATGATATAGTTAATTCAGTGATATCCCAATAACCCCAAGAAGAATAAATCTGCCAAGTTTCTTTTATGCTTTTCTTTTTAAATGAAGCATACCTTAACAAGATTGGTAGTTGGGGAGAGGAAAAGAAGAGAAGAAAGGGAAGGGGATCTGCTCATCATTTTTAATATGACCAGGGATAGACTTGACATTACAAAATTTCAAGGTTACTGGAGGAGAATCTATAATATAGTGGACCTTTTCAGTCACTCAGCTATTCAACTTGATTTTCACGTTCTCTTTCTCTTTCGACACATCATGGATCTATCTGAGGATTTCTTAGAGCTTGTATTATTACTATTTTATTAATTATTATACATCTATCACATTATTATTATAATGACACCCTTATTGCTTTTGTGCTTTCTTCCTTCTTGTGTGCGTTCCTGGTCAACTGCTGGGTAATGCTCACGGGAAGATCCAGTGCTGGAGATGTATTCAGTGCTTCTCACGTGACTGATGAGTGGATCTCCTGTTTTGATTGATTCACATTTTGCAGTTTGCCAAGGGTTTAGTCACAGGTTTTCCTTCCCTTCCTAGCCTTGTTTGGCTTTAAGAGATGACTTCTTTGAGATCAATGTTAACCAAGAATACAGACTCATCAGCTTGTTAATCAGTGAGTTTTTGCTGAGTGTGTACAATGAGATTTTGTTTGTACATGCTGTTTTTCTATTTCATACTTCAGCTCAGCCTCAATTCTCCTTCAACCTTCTGGACAGTCTAAGAGCATAAAGTGTGGGAAGAAAGTCTGGCATTTCCTTAAGCAAATATCATAAAAGGTTGAAGCAATATTTATAGGTAGAAAGCCCAGTTACGAGAATTTGAGTATTAAAAGGTTAAATAATTGCTTGGAGATGCATGCGTGAATGGATGGATTGATTATCAAAAGGGAACTTGCTTAGGAACATGTTCTTTCCACAGGGAAATGGCCACCTCTTGGACAGTTCTGATCACTCACTTGACATACTGTTCTGTTTATTACACTCATGGCTGATGAATCATTTCTTCCATTTGGAAACTAAAATCTGTGTTCAGAGCCATGGTGAGGTTACAGTCATAATCCTGCATTTTGTTTATATTCTGGTTTGTATTGGTGATATGCATATGATGCATACATATGTGTGGGTGGGTGAGTGTTTATGCTCATATGCACATGTATGGAGACCAGAGGAGGCTATTAGGTATGGTCCTTGAGACAGGGCCTCTCACTGAACCAGAGGCTAGCGTGGGTGGCCAGCAAGTTGTCTGAGTCTGTCTGTTTCCCTCCCTCAATTCTGGGATTACAGACATGCTCAGCTATACCCAGTTGGGGTTTAGAACATATGTACTCATTTATAGCCATTGAGAATTCTCTTTGAATTACAAAAAAAATCATATTTAGTTCTCTTTATTGTGCCCATTAATGAAGTAGAAGGAGCATGTGAGGAAGAGCCAATGACCTCTTAAATCTGCCAGCATGTGTCGCTAGGGAACTTCAAGGGGCCAATAAGATAATGTAAGTGACAGCCATTCTTTTTTTTTTTAAATCAAGCTAGGAAATTTACACAGGTTCCTTAAAGTCTCTGACACTTGCAGTCTTTCTTCATGAAGGTTTAACCTGAAATTCTCCCTCTTCAATCTAATGTTCTGTCATTTTTTATAAATTCTGATGGGTAAGTAGAGTTGGATGGCTAAGAACAGTCTTTTTTTGCTGAAGATCACAGAGATGAAGTTAGTGGCCTGAGTAAAGGTGAGATCCGGAGCAACCAGCACTGTTCTCACCCAAGTGAGCTTCCCACAGATGTGTCAGAAGCTGGTGGGCCAGCTGTGACCCACGGGAAGCTCCCCACGGTTCCCAGCCAGGGATAATTGTTCATGGGATGCAAATGACTCCAGATCCCAGAGCAGGACATTCCGCTTCACCCAGAGGAACTCTGATAAGTGAGCACTTACTAACACTGCTTCTCTGGGTGAGATGGAAATTGTGGGAGGTCTGGTGATCTTTACCTGCATGGAACTTTGCACTCGATGGACAAGGAGGAAGAACGGCTTTCCAGGGAAGGAGCTTGTCAGTCATGTAGAAAATGGGGTTATGGGAAGTTGAGCTTTGTGTCTGGAATTAATCCTCTTTCTTGAGTTATCACATGTTCATGCAAATAACTTCCCTGAATTAAAAGGAAAACCCTAAAGACCACAATTCACTTTTAAAGTCAGTACTTCTGAAAATTTAGTACTTATAGGAATAAGCCTAGGATTCCACTCTAAGGGATTCTTATTTCTGACATATTGGTACCGGGATAGTACCCAATATGTCAGAAAAAAGTACCCAAAGTTAAAAAGTACCCAAAGGCAATTCTTTAACAAGGGAGCTGGGATAAAACACTGAGAAGCTTTGTGCCAGGTGTCCCCGGGTCTTAGTAAGAGATGCCACCTTAGAATCCCAGTGTCCCTGAACTTAGTATGATCTTAACATCATCTTTCCCAGTTTCAAGCTGAAAAGAAAATCCACGTCTCCCGTCAAATGAACTAGTCAAACTGGAATGAAGCACCAGCACAAAGTAGAGTCTCTTTGGACTGAGTCAGCCTGGCTGTGCTCCAGCCCTGGCCTTGTCACCAAGTGTTCAGTTTCAGTTCTCCAGGTGACAGGGTGTCTGTCTAACTTCATGCAAGGGAGGACATTTGACAGCTCCTTCCGTAGGGTAGACACGCTGTCACGTTAGAACAGGCTAGTGTCAGAGAGACCCTTCCCAGCTCACTCTAAATCGTTGTCTTTGGAAGAAGATTTGAACTCTAAGTTGAAATCTAAGTTGAGAGATCAGGACCAACAGGGGTGTTGAGCAGCCTCAGTGTGCAGAGCGGGGTCTCAGAAGCACTGGAGTTGGATAACAGGCTTGGATAGTGGAGTTTGAGTGGGGGTAGGCGCTGGACACACGTGAAGGTTGTTGGTCTTCTCAAATATTGGCCAACTTAAACACAAAATATTTCATATGAACATCCATTGACTAATTGTTAATAAGTAGAAGTCCAAGAGATAAAACCTTAAGGTATAGTGCGAAGGTTGGAATGGGGAATGCCCCATCAGCTCTAATATTTGAAAATGTGGTACCTAGTTGGTGCCGCTGTTTGAGGATGCTTAGGAGGTATGGTTTTTCTGGAACAGGGACAGCACTGGAGGTGGGCTTGGAGCATCTGAAGTCTTACCTATTTCCAATTTATTTTCTTCTTTCGCATGTGGTTCAAGAAGGGGTCTTTCGGTTTCTTGCTCTGACCACCATGCCTGCTGCTTGCCTTCCACCAAGTTGGCCTCCAGGAACTTCATGTCCAGGTAAACTTCTTCTTTTGTAGCTTGCTTTTTTGCTCATGGTGTTTTATAACAGAATCAGAAAAGAAACCAGTGAAGATGCTCAAATTTACCCATTTTATTTCTTATTATACTTCATTATCACGGACTGACAGGAATAATAGAGAACTCTTTGTACGTAATTTCATCAGTGATATTCTTCATCATATATTTTATAGTTCAGGGGCTGGGAAAGTTGACAGTGCTATATAGTATATATTTTAGGCCCTTTAAGTTCTGATACTGTTTCTGTAATATAGTCTTGTCATCAGCATGCTATATCAGAAACAGATAAACACATTTGTCTTTCCCCAAGGTCAACATTTATTGAATAGCAATTAATACACAAAGTATGGTGATTTTAATGACAGCAATTTACTAGATACTTCCACTTTGCTCAATAGCCCAGGATGAGGCAAACAAAGGGTTCTTTTTATTCCAATCTTGATTACTAATATTAACTTTCAGATTAAACATTACACATCAAACAGCAATTCTGTCTCTACATAAGTATTTGCATAGGTTTCAGAATGACTGTGAAGGTTTAAGAGGCCTAGATAGATCTTAAGAGGTTTTTAAAAGTCCCTAGAAGCAGGGAAGCCAACAGAAATGCAAGTAGAGTCTGCATTACAAAGATAAGGGCCCTGATCTAACTCCAAAGAAGCAAGAGCAGCTGCTGGCTACTGGCTTGAGAGTCAGACTCCTGGGTCAGGACTGAGCTGTAAGAGTCAGACGGGCAAAGGGCAAAAGCAAGTCCACACGACCAAACAGGGAGATGGACGGGCAGTGTGTTCAGACTAATGAACAAAATTTGAGGAGATAGCAATTAGAGGAATATGTGTCTACAGCAAGGGCTGAGCAGAGCTGAGGGTCCTGGAACTGTCAAGAGTTCTCCTTGGGTCATGGGGTTAGATGACAGGTCTGCAAAGTCACCACAACCACAGTGATCTGTACCGTCCTCTTTGTAGAGGAGGGGCGCCCAGTCTTTCTTCGGTTTGGTGCATCTACTAAGTGCTTGGCCTGTTTCTCCTGATGTGCTTTTAATATGCTCATGTCCTACATTCTGATTCACTCTGGCAGAGTCATAAGGTGGTACCCTTCCTCAGTTTAGGAACAGCCATTTGATCAGTCTCTCCTGTGTGGATGGTGTTAGACAGACAGTGCCTTTCATGTGACCACCCAGGCACAGTGTCAGCCTTCCTCTTCCAAATGGAGCCAGGTGACACTTGAAAGATGGGGTCTCTCATGTCAAGACACAGTCTGAGAAACCACTGCTTTACACAGTATGGAGTAGCTCAGATCTGGTCAGAACCTGATCTCAACAACTTATCAGTATTCTAACAAATGGTTAATGATATAAAAATCATGCTTGCATTCAGAAGTACAAAAATAAGGCAGGAAGCGGTGTGGATACCTAGGTTGGAGTTTGTTTATCTTTCTGTAGGGTTACAAAAAAACTAAGATGACTTTTTATCTATATAGCAATTGGTTATTCTTGATAGGAAATACAGTTCACTGATGAGTTTTCCATTGAGAATATGTCTATGTCCTTATGTACTTAGGGGAGGGTCTAACATCCTAAAGGTGACAAGCAGTGTTTTCTCAACTTCGCTCCTTCTGAAGCATGTAATACTCAAGCCTGTGAAGAACATTATCTTATTAGTACATGAATATGTGTGCATGTACATAATTTAAATCAATTCTTAGGGCAGTAGGAAATGAGTACGTAGTGGTCAATGTAAAAATGATAAGGTGGCTGCTATTTGTTGGGGACTGTGTACCTCCAGACCCTGAATTTCCTGTGACCCCCTTGCATGCTGGAGCAAACAACTTGTTATGCTTGCAGCTGCTCTGAGCAAAACACCTTGTTTTCCTGTCCTTGCAGCTTCTCTGAGCATGAGACCCTCAGGAGTTCCTGATGGTATGGGAGTGTTTTCGGATGACTTGCAGCTGCAGGATCCCGAGAACTAGGGAGCGGCCATTGGTCAGGGAAGGTACTATATAAGCTGCTCTGGAACACAATAAAGGGGCATGTTTTTTCAAGGATGACCCGTGTCTCTCTGTGTGTATGTGTTCCAATCTCCAGCCCCTTGCCCAGCTCACAAACTGTCCCAGAGTGCAGGCGCTACAGTCATTAACGTGGTTAGCAGGTTGGCATTGGGCCATATCACTCTTTTAGTATTCTAGAAAAACACTTTCCTGCTTCTAGATAGGTACAACCTCGACCCAGGACAAAGGGCCTCGTTATCAATGACTGGATGGACTTACATGTCACTCAGTCCCTCACATATTTACTCTTACTCAGGGCTGTGTTCCTGTCTTGAGTAAGTAGGGATGGATTAAGAGCTAATTTGTATATGGCTTTTCTCCTCTTGGCATAACCTGATCATCCCTCCTCTAGTTTGAATAGAGATCACCTTTCCCTAGTAGTCATGGCAACTAATTAAGCAAACATGTGAAAGTACCTAGGCCCATGGTAGTGATCATGTGGTTATTGATTCTGTAATAGAAACAAGGAAGGGAAGGTCCCAGGATCCTCAAGTGATCGATAGTCCAGTCATAATTGCAACTGACCTTCTCCTGCTGCAAACGGCCTTGGGAGATGCTAAAAATAAAGGAAACAGAAAGCTAACTGAAAGGGGGGACCCCAGGATGAGGCTTCCATGAAGTCATCGGCTATGATGGAGGGGGCTTTGTGGTAGTGTAACTGTGGGTAGGGTGTCCCCCTTGATCCTGAAAGTAACCCATAACTCATGCTCTGTGAAGAAGCCCAACGAACTCGAGTGGTCGACAAGTTAGACTTCACGGAATGGTCACTGTGGTCTGTGGTTTGGGCCCTATCTGGAGCGAACAGACAATGGTTCCTGTCTCCCGAGAAAAGTTAATGCAACCACATGGGGTGAAAGTCTTTGAAAGCTGGTGGCAGCTGAGACTGTGGCTCTAGAATTGCTCCATAATCCTGGTTTTGGAGATGACTGTTTTAAAGCAATATTTAAGTTGTTGGCCATTACACCCCAATCACAATCATAGGTGTTGGCTTTTAAAGTTTTGACCTACTTAAGCAAAGCAAAACCTAAGGTGGGGGGAAGTAACTGCAGCAATAGATGAGACCCAGACAAGACTGTGTGAAGACAAGAAGACTCCAGAAGACTGAGCTATCAATACTTCCTCTTTCCCGTGGGTGTGGTTATGGTCAGTGCCACAGGATTGAAAGCACAGTGCCCCCTACTGTCCCACAGTGGGTCTGTTCTCTCAGGGATCAGCATGGTGGGCTGGAGCAGTGGAACGGAGACCTTTGTGCACACCATTTGGTTCTAAGTGGTTGTTGTTACAGTTCTGGGACACAGGGAGCATGGCTACCTAAAAGCTAGAGGGTGTGTATGTGTGGGGGTGGGGAAGAACAAAGAATGCTGGCCCTCTGGTCGCTTCTTCACTTTTTAACAGAAACAGGCAGAAATATTGATCCTCTTGTTGCTAAGATTCATTTTCCAGGAGAGACATAGACAGTGTCTGCACCTCTTTTGCAGGTCCTAATCACAGACTGAAACACAATTACACCAAAGCTCATTGTGCAGAACCAAGGAGTTCATTGGGCTTCCTTATAGGGCATAGGTAAAGGGTTACCTACTGAAGTATGAATGCTTCCCCCAAATCCCAAAACCAGAGATGATGGCTTCCCTATAACTGCATAGATGGAGTGCCCCGACCACCCCAAACCCTTCCCTGACTGTATACTCTGGCCTTCCTCCTAGGGCACACACGATTAAGACAGAGCTGGTATCGTAGGTTGTAGGAATGGCTGAGTACTCAGGTGAGGGCTTTGTGATCCTTTCCACTAAGCCATGAGGAACAAGCCAGTAAGCAGCGTCCCTCCATGTCCTTTGCTTCAGCTCCTGTCTCCAGTAAGCAGTCAAGAAGCCCAGTTGAGACAACCCTTTTGCGCGGTGTGTGTGTGTGTGTGTGTGTGTGTGTGTGTGCGCTTGTGTGAAGCTGAACTCCCCAAGATAGAGTTTGGTTGCTTGGCTCGGAGGATAGTCCCTCACTCACATTTGCGGTTACTATTTTGTGGTTCTTGAATGATCAGAGACGGAGGGAAAGTTCAGGGTTAGTAGTGGTACTCTTCCTTCTTCTAAGGCTCATGCCTAACGGCACAAGCCAAGCGAACAGGAGCTATTTGGTGGGTGTGAACTGGAGCTTCACTGGACAGGCCGAGTGCACACGTGACACACAGAGGATGCTTATAAGCCCAGAGAATGAATTCACTGCTTCTTGGACCCATAGCCTTGTTATAGTGTCGCCTTTGCTTTGGTGTGCGGCATCATCACATATTTCAGGGGGTCTGAAACTTATCACGGCATCCATGCTGGCCCACGACTCAGCAGCATGCCGTGTTTTAGCTCTATGTGTGCGCTGTGGATGAAATTTGAATGAACGTATGCAGATGTTCTCTGTTGAATCTGGAATTTAGTCTAACTTACAGAGTCTCTGGGAGGAACATAGCAGCTAAGTAAGTTTTGAGTACTGTAAGGAAGGGCCAGGAAATGCTTAGTGTCTATTTAGAGAGAAGAATGAATAAGCATAGCCCAAATTCTGCAATTGGAGAGGCTAACCGTATTCCCCAGCTGGCTGAAACCAGGAAGCAGCACCCCTCCATGTCCTCTGCATCAGCTCCTGCCTCCAGATTACTGCTGTGTTTGAGTTCCTGTCTTGACTTCCTTCATTGATAAACAGCAATATGGATGTGTAAGCCTAATAAGCCATTTCTTCCACACCTTGTCCTTTGGTCATGGTGTTTCACCACGTCAGTGAACCCTAACTAAGACATCTGGCCAATGGGTCTCCGGCACTCGTGTACCACACAAAAGACTGGACTGATCTTTGGTGTGGTTATGGTCTTAAGAGATTTAAGGACAGTTTTCAGAGTGTTCCTTCCCAGTAACAGATGTTAAATCTAGCCCTGGAGCAAGAGGGAAAAATGTGTCTTACTGAGGAAACACAAGCTTTCTGCCAGGAATAGGTTTTGGGGCTGATTAGCTTGGAAATAATCTTTGTATGATTTGCGGCCGGGAAACTACTAAAGGGTGAATTACTGCTTCTTAACGGACATGCGTTTCACACAATGGCTCGCTTGTTCCTTCCCAATGTTTGTACATATTTGAACGAGGGGCACAAATCATCACTGCTGTCAGGGATCCCCTGGCAGCTGTGCCTCAGCCAGCAGGTAGGTGGAGCCTAGAGCACCTGAGCCCAGGAGCAGAGAGGTCAAGGGCTCAGGGATCCCATGGCAGCTGTGCCTCAGTCAGCAGGTAGGTGGAGCCTAGAGCACCTGAGCCCAGGAGCAGAGAGGTCAAGGCCTCAGGCTCTTCTTTTAATCTTGACTTCTTGCTTGCTAGGCAGTCTTGGTTGATGAAACCATCTTTGGAAGCTCAGTTTTTTGTTTTTTGTTTATTTAACCTGTAAAACTCTACACAGTATTTAAGGCACTACGGTGAGTGGTTCTTTTGTGACTCCACGCATAATACATGAAAGATGAATGATACCAGTGAGACTGGGCCATAGCCTAATGACTTCATTGATCAGTATCACCAAATATGTAAGAACAATTCTTCCAAAACTCTTCCAAAAGTCTGAAGAGTAGGGCTGTTTCAAACTCATTATTTGAGACCAGCATTACCTTGATAACAAACTACGGCAAGAAAGCAACAAAAGAAAGTTAGAAGTCAATATCACCACTAAACATGGGTACAAAAGTCCAAAAGGGGAAAAAAATAGCAAAGCAAATTGGATAGCACACTAAAAACATTATCCCTCATCACCAAGTGGGATTTATCACTGGAATATTATGAAGAAGATTCAACACGTGCAACTCAAAGAATACAAGATGCTGCATCAGCAGAATGAAAGACCAAAACATCGGGTTATATCAGGAGCTACGGGCAAAGTACTGGACAAAAGTCAACATTCTTTCATCTTAGGATTAAAACACCTCAGCAAATTAGCAATGATAAAGGTTGCATAGTACAAACCCAGGGCTAACATCCAAGTCAATGGTGGACAATTTGAAAGGTTTCCTTTTAAAACCAGGAACAAAACAAGCGTGTCCACTCTTGTTATTTCTGTTCACCGTAGAACTAGAAGTTGTAGTCAGAGAAATTAGTCTAGAGAGGAAAAGAAAAGGCATCCAGGGGCTGAGGCTGTAGCTCAAGGGCAGAGCTACATGTGCAGGATCCTGGCTTTGATCCCCAGCACCATGTCAAAGCGCAGACTGTGTTAGTTTACTGAATCAAGTGACTGACTAAGGCAAGGAAAACTTCACACAATCATTGTTGTCCAATATGAGAATTGTTTCTATTGGCTTGGTTTTCTCAAACTTCCAACTTGTTTTATTTATCATGGTATTGTAGTGAAATCTTAGAACAGCAGTTCTCAACCTGTGGGCTGTGACCCTCACAGGGGTCACATGTTAGATATCCTGGATATCAGATGTTTACATTACGATTCATAGCAGTAGTAAAATTACAGTTATGAAGTAGCAACAAAAATAATTTTATCATTGGGCATCATCATAACATGAGGAACAGTATTAAAAGGTCTTGGCATTTGGAAGGTTGAGAACCATTGTCTTTGAAGAAAAATATTGAACTTACAGTATTTCTCTCTAGGTTGAAAGGTTCCTTTGAATTTGGAAAGAAAAAGCTTCTGCTCTCCTTATATGCAGATGACATGGTCTTGCATATTGAAAACCTTAAAGTCTCCACCAAGATTCTGTAGGAACTTGTCAAAGAATTCGGTCAAGTTCCAAATTACAGAGTCACGCTGTAAAATCGTCAGTCTCAGATACACCAGGAGAGAACAGAATTTAAGAAGAAATCCAGAAAACCAAACCACTTATAATTAACTACAAAATAAATTAAACCCTTGTGGGTAGCTAGGCAAAGGAGTGAAAGCCTGGCATATCAAAAGTCATAAAACACTAAAGAAAGAAACTAAAGAGGACATGCATAAGTGGAAATATATTCCGTTTTCATGGATTTGAAGAATTCATG